AATACACTCAACACTTATCACTATTTCCACTGTTTTTGGCCTAAATGTCACTATAAAACCCGACATAGAGGGCATTTAGCAACCCATAAATTAATTCATAAAAAAGCAACAATTTTTAAATGTGACTATAATAATTGTAAAAATGTTTACAATAATAAATGTAGTTTATTTTTTCACAAAAATGCCGTTCATTTAAACGTGAGATATGTATGCGATTGGAGTGAATGTCGCAAACAGTTTACGACAAAACACGGATTACTTTATCATAAAAGTAGTGTTCATTTGAAAGAAAAGAAATACAAATGTAATGATGAAAATTGTGGCAAAAGTTTTACATCAAAAAGTTCACATGATTTACATAAACGTCTCCATTCGGGTGAAAAGCCATTTGTTTGTCATTTCAATGATTGCAACAAAAGTTTTACTAAACGACATAATTTTATTCAACATAAAATGAAAATACATTTGATTAGAAAATTTAAATGTAGGCATCGTTCGTGTAATGAATATTATTCAAATAAAAATGCATTAAAACAGCATATAATAGATGTTCATATGAAGGGAAAGCCTGTCTACCAGTGCTCGCAACTAAATTGTGTACAAGTGTTTAATAGTCGATGCAATTTGAATCGACACAACCTTTCCGTACATTTAAAGCAAAAGCCATTCAAATGTGATGAACACAAGTGTCAGAAAAGTTTTTCCACACAATCAGACCTTAATAGACACCAGAAATCATTGCATAAGAAATGATAATATTATAATAATTTGAATTTCTCAGTTAATTGATATAAAATTAAATATTAAATAATTAATTGTAATAAAAAAAAGTTGTTTTGACAAATACTACAATAGAAAATGATATCTAAAGCGTTTTAAACAATGCATACATTTAGTAAAATAGAAATTAATTTTCGTTATCAATAATTGTCAAGATAGTTATTTAGATTAAATTATTTTCTTTAAATATGTGTATAGTATTGTATTTACAATATATATTATTATATTAATTTAAAATGTTTTATTTTATAATTGGATCCGTTTCCCAGAGCATCTCCATTGAGCTCATGATGACTACAACTGTGGACACAATCGTGAATAGTATGGATACGACAAATAATATCCGGGCGATGGGAGAGCTGTATGGCTTGTCCAGCACTCGCCATAACCGTTGTTGATAGGACAGACTACCGGTGCTCGAGGGTCCGGTGCTGTCGACTGTGTGTTTAGTTTCAAATTCTTCGTCTTCGCGTATGTCATCCAATAGTTGTCGCTTTCTTTGGTGGTACCGGTGCTGACAGCACCGGGATATCAGGCTCTCATCAATGCCCCAGTATTCCAGCTCTTTGCTGAACCCTAGGGCACAGATACCTTCGGTCAGGTGTAGGTTACCGGTGCTGTAAAGGGCTAGTATGGGCTCCAATGTGGTGTTATTCCTATCGAAATAGTACTCATTATCGATTGGGTTGTAGTCATCGCACAGTTCGCTGACCACAGCTTTAGACTCCCGGAGCCGACCTAATCGGGTGAGCGGTAGGCGCTTCAGACTTCGCCGCATCACCACATGTCTGACCCCTCCTATGTTTAGTATCACTTTTTGGTCTCCAGTTTTATCATCAGTTTGTGTTGGATCGGTATGTGAGTTATCAGCACCGGTAGCATTAAAGTGTAACTCTTGTTGGGATACAGGTGGCTGAGATTCATGTGCCAGTGAGATGGGTGTGACCTCCAGTTCCAGGGAATCATAACTTTTCTGTATCTTTCCTGGCATTACTTCATATTAGATATTAATTATAAATATAAATTTTATATAATTTACAGTTTTTGTTTGACACAAACTATAGTATATTTACAGTAGATTATAAACATTTCACAACTTAAAATATTAGCATACTAGAATATTATTTGTGTGAATATAATGTTTATACATGTATATTAAACATGAATTCTACATTGTTTACAGAATATTTTAGGCTTAATAAATGCTTTTGTATGGACTGTATGTTAATTTAGGCAATCTGTATTCTATTAATATTTAAAAATTAGAATTTTACCACTGTGTATTTTAATGGAACATAATAAATAAATAATAACATAATGTAAATATGTTTGCTACATGTTATAATTTGTAAATTTACACACTTATTATGATGTGTATATTTTTAATTATTTGAGTTTAGTTTAAATGGTTATGTCAGTTCAAAACAATTTAGTATACATTCATATTAAAAACTAACAACTGTGAAAATTATACCATATTTTGTGCTTATTATGAAAATAAATAAATTTAAACTGATTACTGTATCAGTAGTAGTCAGTAAATGTTTGCTAAAACTTAAAATAGTTTTTGTAACTAATTAATAGAGTATTAAAAGTAGAAATTGTGACACAATTGTTAGTTTTTAAACACTCGGTTTATCGCTACCACTGTTCACTACTTCCCTGTGCTGTATAGCCCTCTCACGTCTCAATTGTTTTTTATACAATTCGGTGAATTTGGTGACCATTATAGGTATGGGAAGGGCTATCACCACTATACCGGACATACAGCACGCTATGGCCACGGCTTTGCCAAACATAGTCACGGGAAATATATCTCCATAGCCCACTGTAGTCATCGTAATACAGGCCCACCAGAAGGTGCTGGGAATAGATGTAAACAAGGTTTCCGGCACATCCTTCTCGGCATAATAGGCGAGAGTTGAGAATATAATGATAGCG